CCCCAAAACCCCAAAACCCCAAAACCCCAAAACCCCAAAACCCCAAAACCCCTCAAAGGACCAATCAAACTGAAATTATAGCTAATACTAATTATTCGATTCTTTTCACCCAGCTGGGATACACGAAGTCAAATATATAAGTGGCCATCTCGATTGAATCGAGGTCTGCCCATTTCTTGCATGCTCTCTTGCTGCCATGATCGTTGAAAGCAGTATCACAGAAGATTATTCTTCTTCATCTTTCATTACATCCCTTTTTCATATTATAATGAGCCTTTGGAGAGCCTCCGAGCCTTTTTATCATATAATTTGTAGCATGGTCATCATAATTTCTGAGTTTGTTAGACAGGATGAGCATCGATGAAGGGCTTAGGTCTTTCAGTCCAAATTGTTTGGTGTACTCATGATCCAACACAAACTTTGCATCTTTGTCGTTCTTATTTGCTTTATCTAAGTACATTGTGTAGGTCTGAATCTCTATTGGTAGTAAAGTCTCCTCATCTAAAATTATAACCCTAAAGGATGGGTTTTGATCAACAAAAGTAGTGATTGAGGGAGATACGTGGTTTGTACCTATCGGTAAATCGTCAGAAATTCCTCTATGCACCTCAAATTCTTCATAATGAGTGTGTCCGAACAGATTGAGTCTTATAATATGTTGGAACCTGTCATGTAATGCTCTCATCCTCATTCCAAATTCTTGTGTACAGTCTAGATTTCCTGGAGGAATGTGTCCGATCAGGATAGCAATTTCACCATCTTTTTCCATTTGTCTCAAAAGGTTCTCCAACCAATTAAATTCTTGACCAGGGTCATTATATTCTCCAATTAGCTTGAAGTTGAAAGTATAACAATTTTGAGTGTTTATAGAGATAATTCTGACCTTGTCCATCTTTCTTTTAAACTCCTCACTTGCCTTTGGATGTGTTTTAGCATCATAAGAGAAATAACTGTGATGGATGAATTCTTGGTATACTTCTGGAGTCATCCAATCCTTCCAAGCATCAGCGATTAGCTCAACTTCTTCACTATTTTTCTTTGACATATCTTGGATATTAAAGGGTGCAAATTCGTGGTTACCATGAATAGGAAACACAACAGATTTCTCGAAAATTCTCTCCAAGATCAATGTCACTTGCTTTGTGGCTTTGGTAGTGATAAAAGGATTATTGTGAATTTGATGTCCAGTACTATCACCTGTCCAAGCTACAAAATCAGGCATCCCTGTTGTGCCAACAGCTGTTTGGAGCTGATCGATGACTCTAGGATTCGTATCACAAAGATAGTCACCCCATTTTCCGGCTCTATCTTTATCTTTTGTTGCAACACCTGATTCTTCGGTACAGCATACGAAGCTATTACATTTATTATTGGTTCCTTCCTTATAGTCAGCATTGATATGAACATCAGTGATGTGATACAGTGTCATATTCTTTCTTTGCTTGCCTGCTCTTCTGTCTTCATCTATCTGATCATATAATTTGTTGATATATTTATTATCTTTGATGAAATCAGGCTTGTCTGAGATTATTCTCTTAACCTCTTGATTCAAGCGGATTTCTCTAAAATTTTCCTTCTCACAAGCTCCAGTGGTAATCTCTCAGAAATATTCAGGGTTGAGAATCTTCCTAAGGCCTTCAAATACTGGAGGAGACCATCCATTAGATGCCTTAAAGCATTGGGTCCATTTCAAATGTTGCGAAGTACAGTAAAGGCCAAGCCCAAGGTTGATAAGCTGGGCTGCAATGTTGCCTAAGAGATATTTGTTCACCCAGCCAACTCCTGTTTTGCATGCTTTACATCCATTTTCTCTAAAAATGTCCATAAAATCTTCGTATGTGCTAGAGACTCTTTCCAGAGGGCTTGCTAAACCGACTGTAACCACCATTATTAAGACAAGACAAAGTTTCAGTTTCATTGGTAATTATATTTCAATAATACTATTGCTTTTTGGGGTTTTGGGGTTTTGGGGTTTTGGGGG